CCAGGAGCAGAGCTGGTCTGATGGCGTAGGGTGAGGCTGAGTGACCAAGAGCAGAGCTGGTCTGATGGCATAGGGCAGGGATGAGAACCAGCAGCAGAGCTGGTCTGATGGCGTAGGGTGTGGCTGGGTGACCAGGAGCAGAGCTGGCGACGTACAGGGCAGGGTTTGGTGGGCCGCCGTCCTCAGGCTTCTGGCTCTGTGGTTCCCAGGGGCAAGATGAAGAGGATCGCCTTCCAGTTCACTCCCTACAGCTGGGTTCGCTTTGAGTGGAAGCCGGCCTCCAGCCTGCGTCGCTGGCTGGCCGTGTGTGGCATCATCCTGGTGGTAAGGCTGGGCTGCCTCACGACGGCGCGGTGGGCAGGGGTCCCGAGCAGAGCTGGTGCTCACCCCTCCTCCCACTAGTTCCTGCTGGCGGAACTGAACACGTTCTACCTGAAGTTCGTGCTGTGGATGCCCCCGGAGCACTACCTGGTCCTCCTGCGGCTCGTGTTCTTCGTGAACGTGGGTGGCGTGGCCATGCGTGAGATCTACGACTTCATGGATGACCCGTGAGGGCTGCCAAGAGCCGGGTGGAGACGCCCCCATGGGCGGGGGGTGGGGGAGCGGAGCTCAGGAGGCCGGGGCCTAGGCGAGGCCGCCTGCAGGACACTGTGGGGCTGGGGATGCTGAGCCCGCTGCTGCCCCTGCAGGAAGCCCCACAAGAAGCTGGGCCAGCAGGCTTGGCTGGTGGCAGCCATAACGGCCACGGAGCTGCTCATCGTGGTCAAGTATGACCCCCACACGCTCACCCTGTCCCTGCCCTTCTACATCTCCCAGTGCTGGACCCTCGGCTCTGTCCTGGTGCTCACCTGGACCGTCTGGCGTTTCTTCCTGCGGTGAGCGCGACAGGGCGGGGCGGGGCGGCTGGTCCCAAAGGAGGGCGGCTCTCCGGGTCTCCTGGCGCAGGGGCCGAGGGAGCTGGGTGGTCTTGGTGTCTCGCCATCTGTGCCCCAGCCCTCTGGCTGCCTCTGTGGGAGTGGGCCCCCCTCCACCTGGGTGCGCCCGCTTGGGCCTTTCCTGACCCAGCCCTCGGGCCATCGCTCTGCACGAATGGATCCAGGCCACGGCTGCCATCCAGTGCCAGGGTACCCGGCCCCCACCCAGCCCATCCTGGACCTCCACAGGGACGAGGTGCCAGGTGTCCGTGGGCCCATGGGGGGCTGGTGTGGGAGCAGGTGGTGACGCCGCCTCCTGCCCCCAGAGACATCACCCTGAGGTACAAGGAGACCCGGCGGCAGAAGCAGCAGAACAGGGATGACCCGGGCAGCGCCGTCGGCAATGGGGACCAGCACCCTCCAGGGCTGGACGAAGACCTGCTGGGGCCCAGGGCGGCAGAGGGCGAGGGAGCACCAGCTCCAAACTGACCTGGGTCGTGGCTGCCTCACGAGCCTCCCAGAGCCCCAGCCTCTGTGGCCACCTCCCGTGTGAGTCCCACCGGGAGCCACGCACCTGGCCTCGCCCTCAAGGCTCTCTTCTCCCTTTCTCCGTGCGCTTGGCCAAGGCTCAGGGCGAGGGTGGAGGCGACCCCGGCACAGTCTCTTTCCGTGTGCACGCATGTGTGCGTGTGTGCTCGTGTGGCCACCTGTGGCATGCACGTGTGCTCTCGGCCCTGAGGCTTCTCCAGAGCCGGGAGTTGGCTGGCGTGGCAAGGGCGTGCTCTGGGACAGCGGATCCCTCAGGAACCAGGTCCTCCCTCCCCCTTCTGCCCAGTCAGCCCCATGGCCTCTGGCCCACCAAGTTCTGTCACCCAGCTGTGGTGTGGCCCAGGCAGGGACATCTCGGTACCATTTCTGCACTCTGTGGGCCCCAGGTGCACTGAGGCCTGGAGGAGCCTGTGCTGGCCCCACATGCACCTCCCAGCACCTGTGGGGCGGCGTCCACAAACACTCCGTGGCTGAGAGCAGCAGATCCAGCAGTGACGCTGAGCCATCTCCTCCGAGTCTTCCTTTCACAGACTGCCCTGGAGGACGTGTGGATGGGGCTAGAGGTCACTGGACTGGCCCTTGGGACATCCAGGCAGAGCCGGGGCCCTGCTGCCTCCACGGCTCTGAGTCGAGGGTCATCTTCACGAACAAACAGAACCAATAAAGTGACGGAAGTCCGAGGCTTCAGCCCTCCCTGCGGCTCCCCGTGTCCTGCTTTGGGGTCAGGTGCAGCCTCCCCGGCCTGCCCTCATGCCCAGTGCCCACTTGGGGAAAACCACACAAAGGACGGGAGGACTTAGCAGCCCCTCTGCTGGGGCTCCAGGTCCACCCGCCCCCTGCCACGTTTGTTCCTCACTGGGAGGCCGGGCTGGAGACCGCTGGCCAGTGGACACAGGATGCCTGGGGAGGGGCCGCTGCCTTCTCAGGCCAGTTTTTTTGAGATGGAGTCTTGTCCTGTCTCCCGGGCTGGAGTGTGGTGGCGTGATCTCCACTTACTGCAACCTCCACCTCCCAAGTACCTGGGACTACAGGTAACCGCCACTACGCCTGGCTAATTTTAGTATTTTTAGTAGAGACGGGGTTCACCAGCTTGGCCAGGCTGGTCTTGAATTCCCAACCGCAGGTGATCCGTTCACCTTGGCCTGTCAAAAAGTGCTGGGATTACAGACCTGAGCTACCCCACCTGGCCAGACCACTATGCTTAAAACTTTACCTCCTGGGCGCTGCTCCTCACCGTGGGTATTGGGGAGGGGGTGTGGGTGGCAGGGTTACAGGGTCTCCTGGGCGCCGCTCCTCGCCGTGGGCATGGGGTA